TTTAAGATTTTGGGGGTGGTGTCACCCCCGCTTAGAGGCTGCACGTGCTAACGTGATTTTTTGCCAAACTTGTGTCCCCCTCGAAAACAAAATCAACGGGTCTGAGCGTTTTTCAAAAAAAAAACTGAGCTGCCAGTAAATGCATCTGTTTCGTTTTCGATGCGCCACCCTGTATATATATATGTATATATATATATATATATACGAGCAGTAGTGATTGCCATTGCCAATGACCAGTTGGGCAAAAAAATACAATCAATTGTTAATTGGGAAATTGTCAATTTTTTTTAAGCTTTAGCACACTCTTTTAACGGTAATCTCGAGCTTTCGGCATTCTCTATGGAGTCATCTTCAGGAGTCGTCACTGAGGTTGCAGCCAAATGGTGTTTCAAAACGAAAGCGTGGATGAGAGCACTTGTTACAAATATAAAACCAAAAGGACGGACACATTGGGTTTATTGATAACGACGGAAATCATCGTTAGATGTTAACACTATATATCAATACACCCGAACACGTTAAAAACTATCAAAAAGCAAATTTGGGGGAGAAAACTGGCAAAGTCCCTTCTTACCTCCAACATCTGTTTTACGTGGGATATATATATATATATATACATGTATATTGAGACGTGGTCATTGTCGTCTAGACCAGTTAGGTGAAAAATTAAAGCTTCCGCCTTTGGGTACTTCGACAAAATTTAAGCAAAGAGGACTCTTTATACTTTTTTTAATTCTCTCTAGCTTTCAATGGACTTTGCCATCATCATCAGGAGCTGCAATTACAATGATAACATATATATATATATATATATATATATATCTGATTCAATGGGTAATCATCAAATGAGACAACATCGTGCATGAATTATGACCAACTCTCAATTTTAAAGGCAATTTATCATTGTCGTCATGGCCTAATTTTAGGAAATTCTGTAGTGTGTTGCCGTACGCAAGCCTAAGTGGAAGATTGGCATAAGCATTGGTCGACCGGCAAATAAAACTACGGATATCACGTGCAAAATTATCTTGTTTACCAAGACATAGTCGGAACATACGAGGAAAGTGTATCCAACGTAAATGAGAAAATAAATATGGTTTATAAACTAACGTTACCCCCATAACGCACATCAAAATCCTATTTCAACATCTATCCCTAAGTATTATCGTATTATCTCAATAAGAAGTCAAGTAGACTAACTCCCTATTACAAATAATCGAGTACCAAAACAGAAGAGAGTAGCGTAGCCCATCGTACGCCACTGTTAACGCGGCGTGCCTTTGTATCGTCAAAGTCGATGCTTGCTTATCTTGCCGTACATGTTTTACACCTTGCTTCAGTTTCGGTATCAGACTACACAAATCATAAATATGTTCTAAGATATTGGTCCGCTTAAAAGTGGCAGATGACTGAAGACGCGACGAGACTATCACTGAAAAGAAGATACGAAAAGTTTTGTTGATTTTGAACAATTAAAATTTCTCCTTCTCTAGTTTCGCCCAAAACTGTGTGAGAACCTAAGTTCGGGAATGATTTGTACGAGGGATGTCTTAAGTTTTGCATATAGAAACCTAGCAGGCCGCGCGGATCGAACGCCAGTACTGAATCTTAACCTCACTCTTTAGTAAACTTAAATTCAAAGTTTCACAACAATACGTGCAGTATTCTCACTACAGTGAATTTCTCTGTGTCACCAAGTCATTAGAAAAATAGATCTCAACCGAAAACATTTTCGCGCCATAATTTATTACAACTTTCAGAGACAATTATCGCAACAAGAATGCCCTGCTGAGTTACTGTCTGTTTTCGGCAACGAAGCGCCACATCAGTCGACAGTTTCCCCTTGGTATGGAGAATTCAAACGTGTACGGGTGAGTCTTAGCGACGATCCCAGGGTGGGTGCACCAAAAACGGCAGTCACCCAGGAAAACGTCGATGCTGTGCGCAAACTCATCATTGAAGATAGACATGTGACATATCACGAGATTGAGGCGTGCTTGAAAATCTCAAATACCTCAATTCAAAAAATTTTACATGAAGAATTAGGAGTAAGAAAATTAGTTTCTCGTTGGATACCCCACCTGTTGACTGAAGAGCAGAAAGCAGCCAGGGTTAATTGGTGTCAAAAAACGCTTGACCGTTTCAATTCCGGAAACTCAAAATATGTGTACAGCGTTGTTAGTGGTGATGCATCGTGGATTTACAGTTACGGCCAGAAAATAAACGACAGTCGGCTGTTTGGGTGCTCCAAGCTGAAGAAAAGCCAACAAAGGTCATCCGTTCTCGAAGTGTTTCGAAAAAGATGCTCGGGACATTTATGTCAAAAGCGGGTCATATTGAAACAATTACTCTTAGTGAGCAAAGAACTGTTACTGCGGATTGGTATACCACCATTTGTTTGCCAAAAGTCATCACCGAGATTCGAGAAATTAACCCCGAAAGAAGAATCATCCTCCACCAAGACAATGCAAGCCCGCACACAGCCCAAAAACAAGGCAGTATTTAACGGAAGAAAAGGTGGAATTATTGAACCATCCTCCATATAGTCCCGATCTAAGTCCTAACGATTTCTTTACTTTCCCGAAAATTAGAAACAGACTGCGTGGTCAAAGATTCCAGTCACCAGAAGAAGCAGTTGATGCATTCAAAAATGCCGTTTTGGATCTGCCAGCAAACGAGTGGAATAAGTGCTTCGAAAATTGGTTCGAGCGCATGCAGATATGTATTAATCTTCGTGGAGAATACTTCGAAAAACAATAAAGTCATTTAAAACTACCTACCGTGTTGTTTTATTTCCTTATGCAAAACTTCAAAGACATCCCTCGTAGCCAGCAGTTTCGCAGCATGTGTTTTGAAAAATATAATCAACCATGCGTTCACTGGTCAAGTACAAGTATTATATACTAGATTGCCACCTAACTGCTACTTTAAAGTATTTCAGTGTCGGAAAATTGTACTACTCCACTAATACAAATACAATGAGATAAGAAAGTAGGTTTTGGTAATTAATGCTTCGAAAAGAATCCTCTATCCTGATTTTCATTTCGCTGAAATTGAATTTACACGCCCATGTCTATGTATGGCTTAACTGAGCTAAATTGACACCGTAACGTTACTGGATTGTTACCGCTTGACTTGCATGACCTTTTCCCAGAAGTTTGTAATTCTGTTAACAGACAGGTACAGTTTACTATGCCAAAACTGCATCTCGCGGTTTGATGAATACCTATTCACTAAACTGGTCGGCTATGGTTCAGATCGTTGCTCATTCTGCTGTCGTCTTTAGTGAAGGAACGTTGAACAGAATTTACAATGACTACCATTCATGCTGAGCTATTTGTAATATAGTTAGTGCATTAATCAAGCTACTGATAAATGAAGCTTTTCAGTATAATTGAAAGTTGAGTAGCAATGTTGATGAGCAACAAAGTATCAGAGAAAATGACAGCACCTTCGGACAGCCGCTATATGTATCACATGGTATTATCATAGAAAGCCGGAAGCTTTACTCAGGCTAATTCTCCAATGCAATTTTCAGACGCCGCCTGATAAGTGATCGGCTACGGAACATCACGCGCACCGCCGTTTACAACGTCAAGCGTACTCCGTAGAGGTTCGGACTTATTGGTTCTTCCAACAATGAATTTCTGATAGTCCCGAACATTCGTTTATAGCAGAGTTCCCCAAACTTTTTTGTGTCGTAGACCCTTTGCCATGTTTTTCCGTGTTGGGTAGACCCCCTACTTACCTGATATTGATTTCCTGTAAATTTCTAACTGTAGTGAAGTTTAGTGTTAAACACTTAAAGTAAAAACACACGTTAATTTATACATTTATTAATTGAATTTAAATTAAAACTACTCAAAATAAACTTTTGTATCTGTTATGTAAAATATACGTAACATTAAATAAACAGGTTTCTGACCAATAAGTGGGAATAAGTGCCCGCATTGAAAAAAAAAATAAGAGGGATAAAATAAAAAAAAGTGAAAAATAATAAAAAAAGTTTTTTACTTAAAATAGTACAATAAGCGAGTTCGTTTATTAATTATAACATAAACGTATGTTCTACAATAATTTCACTGTTAGTTTGATTAAATTCCGCTTCTTATGCGTTTAAGTTATCTAAAAATAGGCAAAAAATTAACGAATTTTAGTGTGTACCTATCCTTGAATTTTCAGAATAATTTAAAAAAAAATATTTTCTATAATTTCTTTAAAAAAGTCAATGCGGGCACTTATTCCCAATGCGGGCATTTATTGGTCAGACACCAATAAACATAAAATAAACTATAAATAAAACAACATAAGCAATAAGTCAATATTTTTAGTGAGAAGGATGAACCTGATGCTTTAATAATAAATTATCAACATTTGGCGTCAATTTTGTAAGGGTTAATCTTAAATCTCCTCGGCTAATGATGTCCAGTCTGTTTCTTTTTTTCGTTAAGAGATTTGTAACAGCGCTGAACCCCCTTTCCACTAGGTATGACGATGGAAAGGCAATTAAAAATTTCCTCGCTATATTCCATAATACGGGATAAGTAACGGGTATGTTGTTTTGCAGCCAGAATTGCTGATATCCGTTTTTAAACTGAACCTTAAGTTCTTCGTTTGTACTTAGTTCAGTCAGTTCCTCTTGTATTATGACATTCGTGAAGTGTGAAGGAGTATTTGATGAAAGTGTTCGTCATTTTCTTCACACAACTGCGCAAATAACCGCGTATTCAACGCGTTGCTTCGGATTCGGTTTACTGCATCAATGACTAATTGAAGTGATTCATGCAATCTAACACTCAAATTTTTAGCAACTAAATGTTGTCGATGGATGACGCAATGTATTGCTAACACCCCTGACACATTTTGTTTTAAATAGCTTATAAATCCACGATAATGTCCAACCATGGCAGGTGCTCCATCTGTAGCTACTGATATTATATTTGATAAAGGAATTGCTTTTTCAATGGAGTAATCCTTCAAAATATGAAATATTGATTCACCTTTAGTGTCGGTTATCAAAGTTCTTGCGAAGAGCAGTTCTTCGTAGATTTCTTGATTCATAATAAAACGAACATATGCCAATAATAATGCTGCATTATCAGGTAAAGTTGACTCGTCCAGTTGTATAGAGAAATGAGTCGTTTGCAAATAACTACATACGAAGCTTTCAAGATCAGAACTCATTTCGTCAATACGTCTTTCAACAGTATTGTTGCTTAAGGGAATTCTTTTAATGATATCAGATGCAGGTTTGTGTACAACAGTTTTTAAAACCTCTTCAACGGCTGGCAAAATTAACTTCTCTCCGATAGTATGCGGTTTTCCGGATTTTGCTATAAGTAACGAGATATTGTAAGACGCCCGCAAACCATCATCATTTCTTGGTGACGTCGAAGCGAACATTCTGTCCAGTGTAGGCCTCTTCTGAAATTTACCTTTGAGTGTTTGAAAGTATTTCAAATCTTTCTCTGTTTTATCAGGGTGGCATCTTCTCAGATGATCTTGCAGTTTAGATGGTTTCATAGCGTCATTGCCCAAAACTTTGTTACATAAAAGGTACATAGGCGATTGTTCCGGCAATGATGGAATGAAGCCAAATTTCAAATAATCAACACTGTACTGTCTACATTTCTTTTTTAATTCGGACATGGCATTAGTCATCTGTGGGCAAAATTAAATTATTTAAATAAGACAGAAAATCCAGCAGCTGTATATTAAAAATATGTTTTGATTTTTCCGAAAACATTCCATAATTCGAACATCTTCTTGCAAAGATTAGCTCGAATTACGGAGATTGCACTGTAATTATATTACCGATTGCTAAAACTTTCAAAAAGAAACTATTGAGGAGTACTCGTGTAATTTTGCATGATTCAATATTTAACTACTAATAACTAAAGTCATGATTGGCGTAATTTATCTATCTTTGACGAGTACAAAACTAAAATTATTAAAAAATAATGTACTTGCTTTTCTCCAGCACTCCCAAACAACATAACACTGACTGACTATAATTTGTGTGATATACTATCTGTTTATATTTTTTAAAATATTTTCTTAGCACTTTCCTTTTCAAGATTCAGGAAACGAATAAACGGACTTGTCCCACATTCGTAATTATAGAGTGACGAATTGAACAAGTCAGTGCAAGGTAGAGAAGCTCTGAGACTGCGACTCTCAGGTTTTTACAAGTTCAAAATGTATTGCGACCACAAAGCGAATACCAACATCCTACAACTTACACAATTTTATAAACATATATAATAAATTTTTTACTTTTATAAATCATGTATATGTTTTGATATTATAAGATAGTATGATGTAAGTAAATAGGTACTATCAGTGTATGTGTTGAGATCCACTATCGTGGACCCCCATATTCATTTCATGGACCTCCAAATTTTTTTTCGCTGACGTAGATCCCTTGCAGATTGTCATAGACCCCTAGGGGTCGATATAGACTTTGGGAATCAATGGTTTATAGTAAACTGGATCAGAGCTGCTCGTTGCAAGGCAAGAAGGCAAGATCGTACTATTAATTTGTATGGGCGACTATTTGATAGTATCTTGTAGTCAGAACTTCCTTGTTGTAAATAAGCCTATAACGAATAAGATCGACTCGCTACCGGCGGGAGATGAGTATTTTGTACAATGCATGAGTCACAAAAAATTAACAAGACAATAATTTATACAGCTTGGCCAATATGTAGCTGACTGGTTTGTATCTTCAATATTTGTGAAATGAAATAACATACGTCCATTTTCTCATCTTTATTTTATTGAAACTTAGAAATTATGTATGAAAAATAATATCAGACAAATGTCCGCCTCTAGAAGTTGCGCAAGCCTGAGTCCTCTTGATTACATTTTCCACAACTTTTTGGCAGGTTTCGGGAGGAATATTTTCAATCGCTTCCGTAATATTGTTCTTCAGCTGCTCTACAGTATTTGTTTTTTTTCCCATAAGCCCTATTTTCAAAAATCCCCACGAAGTAAAGTCAGTAGCCGTTAAATCCGGTGACCTTGGTGGCCAGTTGACATCACCAAATCGAGAAATTAAACGTCAAGGAAATATTGTTCGCAAAAGATTCAGTGTTTCGCTAGCTATGTGACAATTTGCTCCGTCATGCTGGAACCAGATGTTTTGCAGGTTAAATTGTTGGATTTGAGGAGCCAGAAAGTTTTGTACCATATCACGGTAGCGCTCGCCAGTGACAGTAAGAGAATTACCTGCAGCGTCTTCAAAGAAGTAAAGTCCAATGACACCTCCATACCAAACACCGCATCAACCTGTGACTCGACGAGGATGTAGTGGTCGTTGATGAAAGACAGGAGAGTTCTCTAATACCCAGATAATGACAATTCGTTATTTTGGGCATTAATCTGCAATATTGCATGGCTGTATAGTTAGCCACTTTCATGGTCACTAGGTTGCCTTTTTAAAATAGTGCATAATGACGTGCGACGAATACCCAGTTCTTGAGAACGATGTCTGGTAGACGTCTCAGGGCGCTCCACAACATTTTCACAAACTCCCTCGATATTTTTCGAAGTACGAAGAGTTTGAACACGGCCCTACCTGGCAAGTCTTCAACTTCACTTGCTTGTTCAAATTTCCGCAGCAACTGACGAATAGTGTTGTCACTGGGCACATTATTTCAACCGAAATCTTGTCGTAGCTCCCGATTAGTTGCAAAAATCGACTCATTATTTAAGTAAAACGTTTAAACAATACGGACGCGTTGTGGGATCGTGTAGCGCTTCATGATGGATTGGACACATGTGGTTTAAATAAAAGCGCCACCTACTGAAATGCGTGTATCAAAATGACGTACAATTCAAATCAGTAAGTTATATATTGGCCACCCTCTATTAAAATCAGCTCACTATGCGATCCTAGAGTCGTTCTGTCTGAATCGTGTCTATGTTGAGATTAAAGATTTGCACAAAATCACATACGAATAACTTTATTATAGTCTGATAACTTATTCGATTTATTTCGGTTTAGCAACTCTTGAACCGGAGCGAAAAAATTGGTGCCGACAAAAAAATATGAAATCTTATATAAATAAGTTATACAGCAGAGCAACTGTAACACGCCGGTAATAGTAATATTTATTTGTCTCCAATATACACAACCATTACACATAGAATTTTAGAGAGGACAAATAAATGAAGAGCCCGCAGAAGGGTGGCCCTTGTGCGCGGGTAAATGTGGAAACAGAAAATACTTATATACTAACAATGACGTAACACAACAAAATCTTTTTTTTATTCTAATTAACAAATGAGTGATGTATATCGATTTGAGTGAAGTTCCATATATGTAAGTGAAGTATGGATTGTACTCATAGAATATGGTATATCAGATGAAGTACTAACCACTAAAGGATAACCTGTGCGTGGTCATTACATCCAACTGGACCAAAACTAAACTTTTAAAATACAACACTACAGATTATTTAAAATGGGCCGCTAAGGCCTAATGACTTAACTAAACTAGCGGCTGGTCTATCTATAACTATTTTTTCGGCCGCATCACAGACCGCTAAGGCTCAATAGATCTACAATAAATATAATATATGAAGGCTTAAAAAGTACTAGTTAAGAAATGGAAAATTTAATCTGAGGATGACCTACAACTTACAATGTAAAGCTCGTGCCTTCTATGTACATATGGATTTTAACTCTTGGGACCACGTGCAGCCAGGCTCTATTTGTTTTCTAAATGAGTTTAAATTATTTACTTTTTTGTAAGACACTGGGATGGTATTGAAAATTCTTGGGCAGAGAAAAATCCAGGACCTTTGTATGAGTGTTTTCTTCGACTTTGGGACTACATTCTGAGACAGCATCTTCTGACGGGTACCATAGCAGTGTTCAATTTGCTTCAATGAGGACCGTTTTTTGTACTGAAAAGTAATGAGATTGTACATATATAACTGTCTAACGTCAAAAACATTAGTATCAAAGAACAAATCGTTGGAAGGATATGTCCTTCTTTTCTTGTATATCAGTTTAAGTATGTATTTTTATACGCATTCGAGATTTATGAGGTGACTTGAGGCCACAGCTCCCCATCCAAAGATACCATAGTTTAAATGAGACTGAACAAGTGCAAAATGTAATGTTTTTAAAGATTTCTCAGTCAGTAATCCTGTTAGATGTTTAAATTTTGGTAACAGCATTCTAATTTTTTGCTTCGTCCATTTCAAGTTTTCATCGAGGATAATGCCTAGATATTTTATGTCACTGGTCCGTTTGATAGTTATTGTGTTATTAGAACTTAAATGTTTAGCGTGTCGTACTCTGGCAAGTGATTTTTGTAGGAAGCAAAGGGGACAAAGTTGGTTTTTGCGATATTCACGGTCAAAAGTTTACTGTTATAAAATTCAAAGATGGTTTTAAGATCATCTTCAATGAGTATTTTTAGTTCTGCCCAGTTAGCACCTTCATATATAACTACCGTATCATCCGCAACTCCCAAAATAGTTCCTTTGCTGTCCAATGAAAAAAGGTCATTTATGTAAATATTGAACAGTACCGGTCCTAAAACCGTCCCTTGGGGGACGCCATATTGTACTACCCCATGATCACTTGTCAGGTCGCTGATAGATAGCTAGTCATTAGTTGTAAGGTATTTCCCTTAATACCGTTATTTTCGAGTGACTGCAGCAGCTTAGCGGGACTTACCGTGTCAAATGCCTTGGCTAAGTCCACAAATAAGCATACTGTTGGAATTTTTCCATCTATTAATTGGTATAGTTTCTTAGTTAAAGCCGCTATATCATCCTGTGTAGAAATATGCTCTCTAAAACCATACTGATTGCTGTGAATGACATCGTATTTTGTAAAAAATCCACAAGGCGTCTTTTAAGTATCTTCTCTATAATCTTAGCAAAACAAGAAATTAAAGAAATATTTCTGTAGTTTGTCATTTCTAACTTATTACCTTTTTTGTCGTTCAGTAAGGATTTAATAATACTATACTCACTCCGACGACCCAGTGAAGACCAATAGTCGGGCATAGGATCTATTGCAAAATAAGCTAGTAGCTTGTTTGTAGTCAATGCATAAACTGGAGAAATGTAACGGGTGATTTTTTAAGAGGTATAGGATTTGATTTAAAAAAAAAACACTAAAAATTTGAAAAAACGATTAAATCTTTATTTGAGTCGATAGAACGGTCGATATAATTTAATTTTTAAAGATTATTTCATGTAAATGTTGGCCACGGCTCCGCTTTAGATGGCCCATGCGCAAGGTCCAATTTTGGCACACTATCTCCAACTTATCGGCCGGTATCTCACGAATAAATGCTTCAATATTGGCTTCCAGTGCGTCAATCGTTGCTGGTTTATCCCTGTAGATACTAGCCTTAACATGGCCCCACAAGAAATAGTCCAATGGCGTTAAATCACACG